TACTTGACAGTTACATATGTGTACACGCAAAGCGATTTAAATAAAGCAAGTATCATTCTTAAAGTTTAGGATATATTTAATTTCTGTATGAAAGTAGTAAAAGCAGAGCTAAAAACATGTAAGTGTGTAACGTGAGCAATATGACAGTTTAAAAGCTGTCAATTCAAAGGAGTGGTTTGCAGAGAGCGTTAAGCAATACAATGGATTATCTACTGTTTGTGTTCTGCCCACTGCGGCTATCAAAATCCGATTTTTAGCGTCGTAAGCTATCAAACTTACCGCTGAGTCACTGGGAGACTTATCGAATGCCAAGTTAGTGACTCGTAAAAGATATGTTTTCTGTCTCTCTTTCTGTATATATAAGATGAAACTGGCGCTAATAAATCTAAATATGGGCCTCGTCCGACTCGCAATCTGAGGGTCGGGGTTCGAATCCCTATCATCGAACATGCTCGCTCTTTGAGCCGTGGGGGTGTCATAAAGTGACGGCCAATCCCATTATTCGTTGGTATTAGAGTAGCACATGAGTTAGCTGTGGGTGGTGTTGAGTAACTTCCTTCCCTCTAGTCTATCACTGCCAAATTAGGGATGGCTAGCGCAGATAGCACTTGTGTAGCTTTCCGCGAAATTCAAAACAAACAATCCAGATATACACACACGCGGCATTTTAGTTTGCTTCTTTGCACTGACTCATATATAAACTCCATTACCAACGTAAAATTTTCAAGTCATTTTACAATTCAAAAAATTTTCTTGTGGCATTAATTAATCTCTTCAAATATTTACAGGCCAACAGTAACTCAGATATTTCTACAGTATGATCACACAGTAGCAGGTGTAATAAAAGACATCAGATGTTTAATATGAAATATTTCCTCTTCCAATATTATAACATTAAAACTCCGTTAGTTTATATTTAAATCCCACTAGAAACTTTTGATTACGGTTTTCTTTGACAAGACATAATTTATTGTTTTGAATTTCAACTCCTTTTCACATTTCTTTTGTTGTTTAACTCTGAAGTAATAATTAAACGTATATGGAAACTATCAATAATTGTTTATTTAATTAAAATCAAATTCATTTACAGTCACCAGGTGTCAGCTAAAATATCATGTTGCTTTGTCTTTCGACCTTGTTTGTTAACTTTTCGAATAAAATGCTTCAATTAGAAATATATTTCGAATGCACACTCTGTAGTAGGAAAACGTTTTAAAACAATACGATAAGATTGTAAGCAAGAAAAAAAATTGTGAGGCACAAAAATAAATTTAAAAGCTTCTTTATCATTGACTGTAGTTGTAGAAAGATTGTCACGAGACACGTGGCTGACATGATTATTCATTCAATGAGAATTTGTAACGCTCTTTTCTTCCCTTTTTTATATAAGTAGGAAGACACATTGCCGCACTCCATGAATAATTGTTTAAAAATCTTGTTTGAGAAATATCTCTAAATTAAGCAATGATGATAATAGAATTTTAGCAATTGCATACTGCTAAAAAACATTTTTGTTTTACTATCGTGAGATGTGTGTACATAGATTGTCGAGTACGTCTACCTCCTGGCGAGGCGTAAAGTGAATCAATGTATCCATATATATTTTGTGGCCTTCGGTGGTTCAGCGACAAGTTTGATGACTTATAACGCTGAAAATTGGATTTAGGTACCTGCGGTAGGCAGAGCACATATAGCCCATTGTGTAACTAATTTTGTATGTATTAGAAGTATTTTTCTATTAAAATATACGCCTTGATTAACAGTATTTTGGTAAAGTAATGATTTTGTCTCGAGTAAGTTTGCACTTAGTAAAGAAGTTGTCTGTTTGTTCACCCGAGCAAGACCTTATGTACATAATGGGCTCAACAGCTAGGTCGTAGACCTATATGTTCAGGTTTAGCCGTCCCTATTTTTGAACTGCAAACCAGAGAGAAAGCACAAGTGCCGTCTAAAATAGTCACGTTTAACCAAATAGTGATTAATGAAAAGAAATATATAAATATATCTACACGTGCACGCATATAGATTCTCGTTGTACCAGCAGTAAAGATGAAGAGAATGAGGCTGGGAGAGAGAAACACTTCTCACTAAATCATCTAATGCTTACCGACGAGGCATCGGTAAGCTTGAGCTTATAACGCTAAAATTCGGACAGCCCACTGTGCAGCTTCACGCTTAAACAAACGAACGACTACTGATATATATATATATATATATATGTGTGTGTGTGTGTGTGTGCGTATGTATGTATGATGTAGGTAATTGTGTTTAAGCAACACGCTTCCTATACCAGTTTTCTTCCTTGTTCGATGTCTTTTTGTTTTTAGTTATAAAAATTCTCAGCTACTTTTTTGATAACAGCTTCTAGAAAGTAGCAGTGAATTTATAATAATTAATAATTGAAAATGTATTTTTGAAATTTGCATAGATCTATTAAAGATATGTATGACAATGCGTTTAAAATGCATAGCTTTTTCAAGTATTCTATTCCACATCATGAGCTTATACCAACTATTCTAACAATGCTATTTTGACCTTTCGCATTGACCTGTAAGAACGATTGTTGAATACTGCTTGTAACTATTACCTAAAAATGTTAACTATGTTGGTCTTAAATAACAGGTGTTCGTGACCAGAAACGTTTACGTCGATGACTATGTAAAACAGTTTGACATCGTATGTTTTACGTGTTTTCTCGAAATTAAACTCTTTTATTTAATTATAATTTTCTATTCTCTCGTCCAGTCAGTACATTTATCTGTCTTCCATCTATATTTCCTGTCAGACTGGCTTATGTTTAATTATAATGATAGATAACGACTGTTAGAAGACAGATCCATCTGTTGAAAGCGCTAATATTTCATCATCATTTTTTGTTGTTGTTGCTTTTTAACATATGCTTCTGAGAAATGCTTTTTTTATTCGTTTTATTCGATTTTTCTTGTTCTCTAGTTGTGTTCGTCTTCACTTACTGGAAGTTATGATTGAGTAATTTTTGCGAACTTTGATTGTGATTCCAAGTTTGATACAGATGTGTGTGATTCACTATTTGAAATCATGGCGGTACAAAAGACTCATATACTCAATATACTGAAACACAAAAAAAAAAAAACAGAAGAAGAAGGAAGAACTGCAAGAAAATGGTATAAAGAAAACACGACAGACTCAGTATACATACACACACATACACGTGTATCTATATACCTGCATATATGTGTGTCTCAGTGTAGTCTATATAGTCTAATATGAATTACATACACACATTGTATAAAGACGAGAGGTCATTGAAACAAAGCCATAGAACGCGTTTTCACATTGTTTGCCACAGAATTATGTCATGGACACGTTACCGTGTGGAACATGCATGTTATTGCCATATAGACTTCCCGCAAATTAATAAATAAACCAAAGTAATTTTAAGCGACAAATTGTTTATACTATCGCGACTTCATAATTTTTATTTCGTAACAAACAAGGGACAGTAATAAGGAAATGTCATCTGAATTGTAAATGAAAGAAACTATCCATATATTTTGCACATGTTTTATATAATTCTGGAAGACTTGATAGACAAAAACTATGTCACATTTAGGAAAAAAAATAATAATTGTTGGAAACATTTCACTATTTACGAATATGTCAACGTAAACTGAACCTGTAGTAATACTTCTTATATTTAAAATTAATTAGGCCTATGTAATCCAATTAAATCACTATAATTTTGTTGTTAAGGTAAATAGACAACAAACATGTTTAAATCAACAACATATTTTTTCAATTTTACTTTTAAGTTTAAAAGTATTTTAATGAACGACTCTGTCCATGCAGTTTGCATTTTTAGATTTAGATTTCTAATTATAGTCTAGGGAATCCTTCCTGTAGAAAAGCTTCGCGAATAAAACAGAACACCGAATACCTCAGAGATGTATCTTTATCATTTGAAATGCTTGACGCTAATAAGCGTTTCTTTATCAGAGTTGTTCTGTAGTATACTAGTCGTTCCAAATTAATTTACGTACTCCAAAAATTGTATTATTCTAGTAGAATTTACTAAATCATCATTTGTGCGATGAGCGTCTACAAGGTATTGAAGGCAAGTTAATTACCACTTGATTATGCATCTTTAATGATAATATATCACAAAAAGCATACAATAACCCGACTATAAACTATTAACAGGTACAAAACTAGAGGTATAACAAAACGTAACAGTGAAGCCACCAAAATATGCATCATTAAGGCCCAATATTTCAAAATAAAGAATTCCTTTTAAATATAGTTTTCTTTTATAGAAGCAGTTTACTTATCTAGCTTTTGATGTCTCTTTCTTTGAAAATTGCATGTGTGCTTTCTTCAGTATAAATTTTGTTTCATAAACTATTTTTGAATACGACATTTTTAAAAGATTGCATTTTGATATCGAAATAATGTTTATTACTGGAAACCTACGAAATTTAGTTACTTTTGCAAAAAGCTTGTTTTTAATGCGAATAAACACTATACACTTTTTTTCCTATGTACACTATTTACTTAAAGTAATGTTCAAATATTATACTTTGTAACAGATACTTTGCTTCCTTATAACTTTGAAATATGAAAAGTCTTATTTATTGATCTTGAAAAAAGTGCTGTCACTCAAAATCTGTTGCATTTGATTAAACTGCAGCACTTCCGATTTTTTAAAATAACTGCTGCAAATCAATAATACTAAAGAAGGGCCCGTCTACCAATTTGTAAAGAGAAATAGTAGAAAACCAACCACGTCTTTGATAGCGGATCTCATGTAGATTGCTTAAATGTTTTATTTTTACCTGAATAATAATAAAAAAAAATCTGTAATAAATATATACACATATGTAACTGTTACCTGTGCAACGAAATACTGAAATTTAATTTTATGTTTACTCTACTAAATTATTATTCACATTCATTGGGCACGTGACTCTTACCGGACCCCCAGGAGAAACTATTATGGGATGTCAGGGAGCGTCCTACGTCATTAAACGCATGCGCTTAAGCTCTTTCTTGTATTGTCGTGGGGGGTGAGGATTTAGCGTTCAGATAATAATTTTAGGGACTAACTTCCGATATCGTGCTTTGTGAGATTGGTGTGTAATATATTCTATTTCAAATGCCCACACCGTCCAGGCGAGAAGAAGATATGTCCGAAGATCAGTCCGAAGTAGGTACAGAAGAAGCAGAGGATGATTCATTGGCTGGTTAGTAAAAATATCATTCGTATTACTGCCATAGTAGCCAGTACTTTTGTAATATATGTAGACTAGCCTACCTGTTCTGTTCGTGGCGGATCAGTAAGCAGTTGGGGTAGCGTTGAGCGCGCAAATATTTCCGTTTGTTGTTTGTCTAACTTTGTCGTAATTGTTCGTTATTAACGTTTTTGTTTTTTATTCTTTATTACACATGTGTAATCTAGATATTCCATGTTTCAATTACAGTCGATTGTTTTAACGTTAGGTTTGTCTACCATTACATGGAAATTTTCTAATTATTCCAAGTTAATGTAAAATGACGGCCCTAACCAACATTTTTAAAGTGAAATTCGAGGGTAACATTATTCGTGTATCGTCTGACCGGCGTCTATGTTGATCACATGGGCTTTGTTTTGATTTTTCGCGGTTAAATGTGCGTTCTGAGGAGAAATTTAATATTTAGAACATTGATATATTATAATATTAAATTATCAGTTATGTTATTTATTATATATCAAGTATATATAGCAGAGATGGATAGTGGGATAAGAGTAGGGATAAGTATAACTCATTAGCATATTAATGTGGCGCGGCAAGCCCTACCAGAGTGAGGCTTTGGGTGAGTGTATTTTGTAGCATAGGGGGTAAGGGTTGTTTCTTTCAAAACTATAGGGTTATTACCCTGTTGACGTTATTACAATTTATAGTCTAAACCTTAAGTAATATTTAAATTATTTCAAGATGTATAAAGTTGTAATGACCAACAGAACTGCAAACACTAAGTGCTTATTTCAACTATAAAACATATATTGCATAATTTCAAGTTAAACAGAAAAAATATTTTAGTAGATACACTGAACGACATTGTTTTTACAATGTAGTTACTGTGTTGAGTATGTGTGTATATTTTGAGGATATCACTTAAAACATAAAAGTCATTGAGGGATGTTCATTATCTGGAGTCATCTAAGAATGTTATTTATGGTATTTAATTCGAGGGATTATGGGAAATATATCTTATCTGGAAATTACAGGTAGCAGTCTGCTAATCATTAAAAAATAATTATGATCATTAATTTTTAAAAAGTTGGATAAGCATAAAAAATTTTCTTGGTCATATTGTAAAGTGGATCCTGGTAGATACCAAAAATTTTTTAAAATTTAAGGGTGTAAAGCAGAAAATAATGTTCATTTGAGGCATTGTGAGAAAATATATTAGATGTTCCCTTAACATATGTTAATATACTGAGAACAAGGCACTATTTGGTTCTTCAAGACTGTCCCCATACAACCTCACTTGAAAAAAATAAAAATTTAAATCTACCCTTTATTCTTAAGAATCATCAGTTCTCTTAAACTTCTGTATAGTTCTTGTCTCCATGATTTCCAACAGCATCTTATTCCATATATCAGTCACCCTATTAAAGAAAAAAAATTGTCTTAGCTGGAGTTTATGTTTGTATTTTTCAAATTTTAAACTTGTGTTCTGTTATCCTGTTGTTTTCAGAATGTAACACAAATGTTAAACACCTTTATCCTCTTGATACCCTTTGTAATCTTGTAAACTTCAGTTAGATTACCTCTTACCCTTCTTTTCTCGAGAGAAAATAAGAAATCTCCAACTTATATCAGTAAGATATTTTTCCTAGTACCCTTTGAACCCTTTCAAATAGGTCAATATCCTTTTTTGATATAATGAGACTAAAACTGACACAGTATTACAAGTGAAATCTAACTAGTGCTTTGTATGTAGAGATAATAGATAATTAACTTTTTTACTTGTAAACGGTGCGTCTTTAAATATAGCCTAAAATTCTGTTAGGTTTACTACTAGCAGCAGAGCACTACTTTAATGGGTTGAGTTACTTATCCCAAACTATGCCAATATTTTTGCTTCAGTTATGTCCCTCCGGTGGGACAGTGGTAAGTCTTCGGATTTACGATGCTAACATCAGGGGTCAATTCCCCTCGGTGAACACAGCAGATAGCCTTTAAGAGAACACATACTCTTTCATATTATCCAGTGGGGTTGTTTTTATATTAAATGTGTGATCAGATTATTATAACTCAAATACTTACAACTTATACAGTGAAAGGTCAAGGTCATTTGATTAACCTAGTCATTCTGTAATACCTCAACATCCTCAGTACAGCTGGAAATACTGAAGAGTTTGGTATTTTACTTCAAACTTTACTAATTATACCCCTATGAATATCGTCAGTGTAAATAAGAAGAAACAAAGGTTTAAGCATTTACCCCTCAGGCAATTCATTAGTAACAAAAGTCGAGATTGATGACTCCATTAATATCAACCCTTTTTCTTTCTCCCATCCAGTGAACCCTACAATCCAATTAACTAGTCTTTCCTTAACCACTGTTCTTGGGCTTTTCTTGACTAGTGTGTTTGGCATCTTATTAAAAGCTTCTTGAAAATTAAAGCCCACACTCTTTCTGTTGGCAAAATGATAAACCAATATTTGATAAAAAAAAACAAAAAACAAATTAGTAAGGCAAGATTTCCATTGGGTGAATCCATGTTGGCTTTCATTGATGATATCATATTTCATTAAATGATTTTGTAAAGCTTTTTTTATCAGACTACCTCGAATTTTTCCCATTACAGATATAATACTAACTGGCATATAATTTCTGGGGCAAATCTTATTTCCCTCTCTTTAAAAAATATGCATTGCATTAGCGACTCTCTAATCCTAATCTACCAGCTCACTGTCTGTTGATGTATCATAAATGAAAGAGAGACTTGAATATTTGGTCTTTAAAACATTGGGTAAAATGTAACCTAACCCTGGGGCTTTATCTATTTGTTATCTCTTAGTCTTCCTACTTCACCTTCAAAACTTTAACATCTAAATGACTCAGTTTAATGCCACTATTTTCCATAAAATGCTCAGGGTCAAGAATATTATTACTATCTTCTTTTGGATAAAGAGAAGAAAAGAATTAAAAGTTAAGACATCTCATAATCTTCAATAAAAACCTTTTAATCAGTATTCTTTAGGTCTAATTCCCATTTAAATGTTTTTCTGTTCTTTAACATATTAAAAAAAATGTCCTTGCTGTTAGACTCAGAATTGTTTTCTAGTTTCTTTTTTAACCAAATCCCTAGTTTTCCTGTATTTTTGTGTCTTCTAGCCTATCTGTGAAACTTCTGGTATTTCATGTATCCTTTTGATGTCATTGGCCATTATATAGACAAACATCAAATACTGGACAGTGTTATTTTTAACAAAAACATTTTCAATCATTATTATTGCTTTGCTCTCATGGTTTTGATATACTGATTTTATTTAAAATAATGATATAGAAAATTTTTACTGGCAATTTAGCATCAGGGTTGAACACAAATTTTGGCTCTGAGAAAGCTTAGTTAAAAATAATTTTCTGTATTGTAAAATTTGCTTTTAGGTTTTTAAAAGATTTATTGGAGAATTAGATCCAACAAGATTATCTAGGAAATTTATAGAATAAAGACCTCCAAGTTCTTTTGTTCTATATTCTGAAGATAATAGGATGAGATGAAATAAATTTAAAATTTGAAAAGACGGGCTAGGCTCCAGTTAAATTGGTTTTATTTTTTGAAGAGAGTGATTGACTTATGGAATAGATTGCTGTTAGCAGTAGTGTGAGATGACATCTTAAAGAGTTTAAGATAGGAGATGATGATTTCTTGAAAAAAATAAAGTGGGGATTTAAGTTTTTACTTTTCTCAAAGGTGAGTATACAAGGACAGCTTTCAAGGATCAAATGGTCTCTTGTTTTTCATATGTTTGATAGTGTTGAGGAATGGTGTATCAGAATTAGAGCTGGGAATTTACTGGAACTTGCTGATTGATTAATTGTTGGGCTTCTAAATGATCATATTCAACTAATTAATTATCCTCAAGAGGTACAAAAAACACATATAAAGCCAAAAATTTGGTTTTGGATACCTGCAGTGGGAAGAGCACAGACAGTCCACTGTGTAGCTTTATGTTTAACAACAAAAAACATAATGGTAACATTTCGATAATAATAATTGAATAATTGAAAACAGTAATAATCTGAAACACTAATTTTGATTAGTTTATTATTTTTGTGACATTATTTATTTTAACTACAATTTCAGTTACTGGATAGTTGCAGTAATCGAAAACGGTAAAAGTTGGAAAGAGTAGTAAATTATTTTCATGACATGAATTAATTTGATTAATTGATTATCTTACAAGACACTAGGTGATGCTTATAGGTGATTGATTGAGTTAATTTCAGGGTTGTATTCAAAACACCTTTGTATTTGAAACTGCAGATGTACTAAATTGGAATAGTTTTACCAAGACAGATTTTTCCTTCAGAGTAAGCAATAAATGTTGTCCCTTTTATAAGTTAAAGATTTAATTTATTCAAAAAAAAACGTTTTGACTAGAAGTTACTTGCTCACCACCTGTAATATATATTGACAAGATTTTTATTAAATTATTATATTAAATACTCCCTGTTAATTATGTGTTTAGATGAAATGACTAGTTGAAAGAAGTGCCTTGCTAAAAGTAGGGAACTTTATCTAGAGGTTGAAACACTGCATACTTGTGAATTTGTATTTCTTAGATATGACCACATTGTTGTGTGTTTGGTGATGCATGATAATACATAATGCTATTACTGATACTTTGATCAATGGTACTACACAACACTTGAATTGTAATATTTTATATTGAGACAGTTGTACATTTCCTGACCCACGTCTTTTGTTAAAATGAGATACATATTAAACAAAAAAAGACTTTGGTGTGGAGAGAGGTTATCTCGGAACTGGAATGATCATTAAACTTGTACCTGTAAGAATGAGCATTGAGGTCTTATTCAAGTTTAAGATTTAATATTCTTACTTTCTGTATGGTAGAGGGAAAGGATGGTTGAATATCAATACAGAGAAGTGTGTTTTTATTTGGTAAATGTGTGTCAAGTGGTAAGTTTTTGAAAATGATACAAGTGTACTGACAGATAAAGC